GTGGTACCCAGTGAGACTGTAATTGATAGTAGCTATTATCATCATTGGTATTTTATATTATTAATATTCTCAGGGATATTTTTTCCTTCCTCTACCATCTCTACCATTTCTCCAGTTAACAATGCTTCCAGTTTGAAATTTATTCATTAGGACAAAAACAGTAATTTTGTAGTTCTTTATCCCAACTACAGAAATATTATATTATTTTAGCCACAGGAAAAATAAAGACAAGTAGTAAAAGCAAAGCAAGAAAAATTACCCATATCCTACCATGTAGTTCAAAAAGATTTTGATCACACACACACAAACACACAAATGTTGTGATCAAACAATACAGCGGATGTTTAAATATTTAAAAAAATTATCAGTGGCACCATGCCTCCCTTGCAAAAGCAAGGTCCTGAGTTCAATCCCTGGTACAAAAAAAAATTACAATAAAAGATACATTGCCATGAATCCCCCTCAAAATACTCCCCCTCACTTCAATCACACATATCCTGTCATTCTTGCCACTTTCCCAAGCTGTTCTGGAAGTCTTCTTTTGTGTCTTTACAAAGTGTAATAAAAAATACTATGAATGCTGCTACAGAGTGCCATCCAACAGAGGGCGGCTTTGTAAAAACATTATGATGTATTCCTATCCACCTTGTTCACCAGATCTGGCATCCTTTGATTTCTGGCTCTTCCCCATTTTGACCATGAAAGGTAAATGTTTTGAACCTATTTAGTGTATTTATGCAGCCACGACAGGGGAAGACTTCTAGAACTGCTTCAGAGAATGGCAAGAATGATGGCATCAGTGTGCTTGTGAAGGGGGATTAACTTACTGTAATACATTTTAAAAATTTTATGTAAACATTCATTGTAGCTTTTAATCACATCTCATACACATTTGTCATCATATTATATAAAGGATTTTTAATTTATCGTATTGTGCACCTTTCTAGTCAATCTAAAAATTTCATTAGAAATTTTTTATAATCATCAGCAGTAATATACTGTTCTTTTTTGGTAGCCTCTTTTAACTGAAAAAATTGTATATATTTATGGTGTGCAACATGAAGTTTTGCTATGTGTATATGTTATGCAATGGTTAAATCAAGCTTATTAATGTGTGCTTTACTTCACATAATTTTATTTTTGTAGTGAGAACACACACAATCTATTCTCTTAGCAATTTCCAAGTATAAAATATATTGTTATTAACTATGTTCACCATATTTTTCTTTTCTAACTGAAATGTGTGCTTTGACCAACACCCCTCTCCCCCCAGCCTGCCATCATTTTACCAGCTTCATGAGCTCAGCTTTTCAGATTCTCATATAAATGGGATCATGTTGTATTTGCCTTTCTGTGTCTTACTTTTCTAATTAGAAAGTCAGTGCATTTTAATGGTAGAAAATACTAACTAGCACAGGATAGGGAAAAACAATCACTTCTAATCTAGATTAGAGATAACTGCTCTTCACATTTTGATATATTGCTTTCAATATTAATGAATATATATTTTACACATCATTAGGAATACGTTATATACTCTTCTTGATCATCACATTTAAAAAAATTATTTTATAATTGCACCAGATAGATCTTTTTCCCCCAACTTTGTGATCATTTCCCATAATTACATGTTCTTCACCAACCCATTTCAGGGATAACCTCTTTCATGGCATCTCTTTCTTTTTGATCGGACCTATCTGGGGTCAGACTGAAAGGGTTAAATGAAGTCCTCATAGGCCCAGCACGGACATAGACAGTGTAATTTCACAAAGAGCTGTCCCAGGGGGTCACTCTGCCACTGAAGTGGATGAAGCAGAAATTCTGTTTGACCTTCACTCCTTGATTAAAGGCTCCGATCAATGTTAAAATGCAACTCTAGAGATGTGACGTTCTGAGCAGCCCCATGGGCTGAACCATGATTTTCATCAGAGATAAGACGGAGAAAAAAGGAGGGAAGACTTCTTACCATTTTGATGTTTCAAGCAGCATTACTCCTCAAAACAAAGGAATTACAACACTATCAATGGCATTAAGCCCGGTTTACAAATTGAGCACTTGTATATTAGATACCACCAGGAGACCCCTTTCTTCCTCTAATCCTTAGGACAACCACATTTTACACAACCTCATATTAGGAATATGATACAAAGGCTCAGAGAGGTGTTCAGTGGCTGGCCCAAAGTCATGCCTAGTTGATCAGGAATCTGAACCTGAGTCTGGCTTAAAAACTTCTGTTCCATCAGCCCCACTGCACACCCTCCCCTACCATTCCCTTAAAAACATGTTTAAAGCTGGATGTGGTTGCACACGTTTGTAATCCCAGCACTCTGGGAGGCTGATGCAGGAGGATCACAAATTTGAGCCCAGCCCAAGCAACTTAGTGAAACCCTGTCTTAAAATAAAAACTTAAAAAAAGATGGAGAAAAAGAGGAGGAGGAGAAGGAGGAAGAGGAGGCAGAAGAGGAAGAGGAGGAGGAGGAGGAAGAGGAGGGCAGTGGCAGCTAGAGATGTGGCTCAGTTCAAAGGCACTGGATTCAATTCCCAATACTGAAAAAAAAAATCATATTGATACAAATGGATTTCATGAATGAGGACCTAGGGCACTTTTCCTGAACTGGTATAACATAAGAAATGAGAGGGGTGAGCTGAATTCTTTTTTAGAAAAAGTCAATGCCTGCTTGAGGGATTTTAGTACCAAAATACCAATTTAAAAAGTTTCCCTAAAGAACCCAATGGGAGGGTGACATCTACTAAAGAGTATTTTAGGTTCAAATCATAATAACTAGGTGCTAGAGTCTGTGTTCAGCACATAACATATATCATGTCCCTTGATCATTCCAGGAGCCCAGAAAGATAGATATTATTATCCCCAATTTCCAGATAAGGGATCTGGGCACAGGGGTTTAACTCACCTCCCAGCACCCAGCAAGCATGAGTTTAAATTCATTCAGAATCCAGGCCCCAAACTCGTAACCATTAGTCTACACAGCTGGCTCCCGTTCTCTCTCCCTTTCCTTCTCTACTGTCCTTATTCTTTTTTCCTTCTTTCTTTCTTTTCTTTCTTCATTTCTCCCCCCACCCCCGCCTCTTTTTTGAGAAAAGTCCTAGGTTCAGCTTCTAGGTAAAAGGCCTGAGCAGTTTTCTCCAGGGCAACTGAAATGTGTTTCTGGGGGTGATCCACAGAGGAGAGAGAGAAAAATACTGCTGAATAATTACTCGGTGCTAGCAGCATGCTTTTGTAGTTCTCGTCTCATTTAACCCTATAAGCATCCATAAAAGGCAGGTTCTATTATTACACCTATTTCAAAATGAGGAAACTGAGGTTCAAACCGGCAGCTTGCTCACTGTCACATGGTCTGTTAAAGGACAGAGTCAGAATACACTGTGACCTTCTGACCTGAGTCCAGTGCCAATCTGCATCACCAGCTGCTCTTCTTTCCTCCCTGCCTTGCTTTATATCTCTCAGTGCCATAGAGAAAATGTTCTTTTGTTCATTGATTCATCAGCCCTCTGCTCAGGAACCTCGCAGTGGTGAATCTTGGTGATTCCACCTGGATTTCACTCTGCCTTCTTTTATTTCAGCAGTTTCACCTCCCCATCTGCTCTCTCCCCTCTTCTCCAGCTGGAATTTCTATCATTGCTACTCATGACCACAAAATCCATTTCTATGACTTTTGATCTTGCCTGATAAAGTTGTAGTCATCTCTCCATCCCCACCTGCGCATCTCCTTACCCATCCCAGACTTCACCAGGTAGTCTGATCATCTGGAAGCCTGCTCCAGACCCTGCAGGGGTAACCTTTTGTGTGCTGAGCAAAACCCAGCCTTCCTAGGTTGCTGCTAACTTGGCCATCCAGTTGCAAAATATGTGCTGAGAGTCAGTTGTGTGCTAAGCACCCTCTGGTCCTGGGGGAACTGGGAGAACCAGACGGACTGGTCCCTGCCCTTGTGGCAAATGCACTTGGCCTTAAATAATTGCAAAGAATCAATTAAATAATTACTAGTGTGAATCAAGCAATCACAATCTGCTCTTCTACGTTTTCAGAGTTCTTTTGTGTCCTTTTATGCCATCTTATGAGCCCACCTTTCCACACTTTCCCACCTAGGGGGCTGTGCCTGCTCCTCCATCCTTTCCTGAGCACAGGTGCTTTCTGCCTCTGATTAGGGCTCTTCCCCCAAAGCCCTGCCTGACAGCTTTACTTGGAAGGATCTTCTCTCATTTGAATTCCTAGCACTTATCCATTCAACAAATATTTACGGAATGACTTGCTGGAATGTTTGATGACTCTTCTGGAGATCCCAAACACGTGTAATGGCAATAATGATTTAAATGGTACAGGAAGTTAAAGTTTTTCTATTTGTAGGCATCAAGGATTGTTTTTCTCTTTCCCTTTCCCAGGGAGGAAGGAATCCACAAAACTATAGAGCAGAACATTAAAAAAATTACAGATAAGCAAAATGACAGCGGAAGCCACCCACTTACTCATAATCCTACTACTTGAAGAGACCCACTACAGACATTTCTTTCTGGTGTTTCCTTTTTCTTTGGATATCTACATCCACTTTGTAAAACTCCTTTTTCCCTCAAATTAAAATTTTATCAAGAAAAACTTTTTTCTTAAGGTCTTTTTAAGACATGAAGTACCTACTCTCTGGCATTCTGCTTGGAGGAGGAATGGTTTTCTCTTAACCAAAAACTAGAGAATTTTCTCAGAATCATCCATTTTTCTACATACAGTAAGAACTTGAATATTGTTTTTCTTCAGGAATCCTTTCTCAAGACTTACTCTGGATGTGCTTTAGTGAGAGTGTGCATGTGTGTTACTGGGGATTGAACCCAGGGCTTTGCATTGAGCTACGTCCGCAACCCTTTTTAATTTTTTGAGACAAGGTCTTCCTAAATTGCTTAATCGCCTATGCTGGGGTCAAACTTGTTATTTTCATGCTTCAGTCTCCCAGAGTGCTGGGATTACAAGTGTGCACCACCACACGGGCTACTCGGCCTTTTTATTTTGAGATAGTCTTGCTCAGTCACTAGATTGCTCACATTGCTCTTGCGATCCTCCTGCTTCAGCCTTCTGAGTAGCCGGAATCACAAGCGTGCTACATGGCCTGGCTGGCTGCTCTTTTGAACAGTATCATTTCACTTGTCTTTTTTATGACCTTAAATACGCGGATGCCCAGGGTTCAGCGCAGCCATATTCACCGGCAAACCACACCAATCTTGCAGTCTTGCCTCTACTTTCAGGATGAGCAGGCTGCAGGCCAGTGCTAAGCACTTGCCCCAGCTCTCCCGCCTGGTTTTATTTTATTTTTTTCCCCACATTGCTCGTTTGTCTAATAATGAATCCCAACAAAAAATTAAACAAGCAAATAGTTAGAGAAACACTAACTCTTGGTAAATAAATCTTCTTTATTCCTGTTCCGAAGAGGAGAAGGTAGCACAGTTTAGTGGCTATCAGGCGAGATCCTTAAACGCTGGCTTGTTTGAAATAACAGAGAACTCTTCTTAGTGGAAGTTGACTTTGCTACAATAGGATTAAAGCAGAGAACACTAGGGGCCCCGTATGTTCTTCTTTCTTAATGTTAAAGTGTCCTGAGTTTGGTTTTTGCTCTGAGCTCAGCAGACGTCACCACCATGACCGAGGTGCAATTCCAGGCGAGAGACACCCAGGGATTGTAGAAAAGTTGATTCTCTTCAGGGAAAGCAAGCCCACTTCAAGACAGCTTTCCTTGTCTCAGCGGGAAGCCTCAGGAAGGCGGACTCCGGCCTTTCTAGATTCTAAAACGACGATGGCATTGGAATTTTTCTCCTGCAGGAATTGGGGAGAGGGCGAGCTGCGCAGACTTCGTAAATGCGAGGCGTGTAGCCCCAAGAGCCCTTGGAATAAGCACTGGAACGGGCCTGACCTCAGAGGCTCCAATAGGGGGTGGAAGGCCCCGGGGCGGGAGCATGGGGGGCAGAAGCTGATCCTCCAGGTTGAACCAGTGCAGTCGGATCCAAGAGGATTCTGATTTCAGAATCAACTGAAAAAGGAGCTAGAAAAGAAAGAGCACCGGGTGTGTGTGTAACCCGGCTCGTTTCTCCTCTGCCCACTTTCGAAAGCCCCTATAGGATGGGGCACTCGGGTGCTGCCCAATGGAACCCCTAGCACTCACAGCAAACAAAAGGGGTGGTCTCCGCTCCGACCTTTCGGATCTGAATGAAAGCTCGGTATTACCTCCCAGGAGCGACCTTCCCTCCAGCGCGCCCAATGAGGCGGAGCCTTCTCCCGCCGGGAGGTGCCGCGCTCTCCCAGGAAATGGACAGGTGCCGCGGGCCAATGGTTGGAGCCGTAGCGGACCAATGGGAGAGAGCGCTGGGTCAACCTGGGTTTGAGACCAGAAGCCCGCAAAGGGGGCGGGGCGCCCGAGGCGCAGGGGGTGGAGAGGAACCTGTGGACCGGACACCGCGACCAATGGGCGCGGGGACTGGCAAGGGGGCGGGCCCGGGCTCCCGGTAGCCCCGCTCCTGGGGTCCGCAGGCTGGGGCGGAGCCAGGCTCGCGTCAGGTTGTCGCGGGCGCGCGGGGGGCGGGGCGGCGGCGGCGAGCACCGACCGTGCGAGCAGGTACCGGCCGCTGAAGTCGCGGGGTCGTGCCCGGGGCCGAGCGCCAGACGGGGGGACTCGGCCCTCCGCGCGTGTCTGCAGGGGGAGCGTCCGCACACTGCGCACTCGGCGCCCCGCCGCCCAGCCCGGGCGGCCGCTGTCCCCGCCCCGCCAGCCCGGGCCCTACCTGTGGCCGCCATCGGGGGAGGGGTCCCCCAGCCCTGCGGAGCCGCATGAACAATAGGCGGCGGCGGCTCCTGCGGGCGGCGGCGGCCCCGCACCCTATGGATCGGCCGTTCCATGGAGCCCTCCAGAGCGCTTCTGGGCTGCCTGGCGAGCGCCGCCGCTGCCGCCCAGCCGGGGGAGGACGGGTCGGGGGCCGCGGCCGAGGAGGAGGAGGAGGAGGAGGAAGAGGCGGCGGCGGCCTCCGGGGAGCTGGGCTGCACCGCGCAGCTGCCCTACTGGACGGCCGTGTTCGAGTACGAGGCGGCGGGGGAGGACGAGCTGACCCTGCGTCTGGGCGACGTTGTGGAGGTGCTGTCCAAGGACTCGCAGGTGTCCGGCGACGAGGGCTGGTGGACCGGGCAGCTGAACCAGCGGGTGGGCATCTTCCCCAGCAACTACGTGACCCCGCGCAGCGCCTTCTCCAGCCGCTGCCAGCCGGGCGGCGAGGACCCCAGTTGCTACCCGCCTATTCAGTGTAAGGCGAAGGCAGGGCCCGGGAGCCTGGCGGGGACCGCACGGGTGGGACGCGGGGTGCGGGGTGCGCGCGCGCGGGCTGCGGACCGGGTGAGTGCGATGCAGAAGCCACTCGCCGCAGGCCCTGCCCGGAGCGCGGCAACCAGGCTGCTTCCCCTGGGTCGCGCTGCCTCAGCCCAGCTCCTAGTTTCCGCACCTTGAAGACCCAGCACGAGAGTGACAATTTCCAATCCCTTTCCCTCCCTCTCGCCCCTCCAAATCTGGAAAGATTTCAGGCAAGCTCATGGTTACTGTCATAACCTTCGTTTTCAAACCAGAGACCTTGGCAGCCTCTTCTGTCACCTGTCCCCGCCCCTTCATGGTATTTGCTACTGAGAGATGGGCTGGGCTGGCTCTCAAGTCCCGGAAGCCTCTGTGAACTCTGGGTTGAAGTGCTTTTGAAATGTTTTTGTTGATTGCTTGGATCTTAATCTTGTACCTCAGGAGTTGTTCTTTCCACTGAGTAAGGTACTAAGAAAGATGAGGGGCTGGGCAAAGATGGTGCATGGAGAAATTATTAGGGAAAAGTATGTTGTTCCCCCAGGAGAGTGCAGTGCGGTGCAGTGGCTAAACTAAGTTCAGGCTCTTCACAGCCCTTAGTGTTCAGACAGAACATCTTTTTCTCACCCTAGATCCTTGTCTATATTTGGCCAAATCTCAGGGGGGCTATATTCAGGGTTCCCTCCCAGGGCCTTTCTTCCTACGTCCTGCTTTTCATCAATTTCCCAGGAGACCCTGTTCCATCCCTGTAATGAAATTTCTTTGTGTTTTCAAAGGACTTAAATTGCCATTAGAATTCCTTAATTAATTCTACTGAGTCTATTTAGAAGAAAGATGTAAATATGTCCTAGTGCAGTTTACAGTATTTTGTATTTATGAGTTTCCATAATTTCTTTCTATTAAAAGGCATTGCTAATCTATACTTATTATTGTTTCTTATTTTGTATACTTTGCATCTTAGTTGATTAAAAATAATTATCAAGGGCCAACTTTGAACATTTACTTTTTTTTTTTTTTTTTTTGAGACAGGGACTCACTATAGTTCAGGCTGGCCATGAACTCACTATGTAGTCTAGGCTAGCCTTGAACTTGTGGTGTGGTGTTCTTCCTGCCTCAGCCTCCCTAGTGCTGGGATTACAGGTGTGTGTCACCACACCCAGCTGAATATTAACTTTTAAAATTTCATTTGTAGCAGTTGTCTTTCTGGCCCTGTAATTTGTTTTCACCTGAACAGTTGTGTTACTTTATCTTTTTTTTTTTTTTTTTGATACCAGAGATTGAACTTGGGACCTTTTGAGGCAGGCAGTGGAACCACTGAGCTAAATCTCTGGCCCCTACTTTATCTTAAGATATGTTACAAACATCAAAATCATAACCTCTTTCCTTTTCTGCTTTTCTTTTTCTTTTGATGTTTTAACTGCCAAATTGAGTTTAAGTCTTTTTCTGTTTCTTGCGCCTCTCATTCAATTTAGAACTTCTATATTTTTATCTTTATAAATGCTTGGAGGTGACATATTACTTTAAATTGTTCCAAGTGCTACACTTTGGCACTGGTACAGGTAAGGTGATGGCCAAGCAAGGGTCCTGGCATAGTGTTTTGTGTTTTTTTTGTACCGGGGATCGAACTCAGGACCTTGTGCATTTTGAAATAGTTGCTGAAGATGAATTTGGCCCTCTGTCTTGAAATGTACAAATAGTCTGGCATGTTAGGAAACAATGTAATTTTAAATCTTAAGTCAGATGTCAAGGTTGTTTGTGAGTGAAGTTCTGCAGTTTTATTTTTAGGGGCATCTAATATCAGAGTGGAAGAGCCATGTTAAGTTCACAAGCAAGAATCAGTTTCTTCAGTATCTTATGATCCAGGCTGTTGTAACTGTCAGGAGTAAATATGACTTAGGCTGAAAGAAGCCCTGCACAGAGAGCCAGACACGTCAACAGTGTGATACATTAGGAGCCCTTTCCCTGTGAGGTGGCCAGGACTTACCTTTATTATGACAGTAGTTACCTTGATGAAGTGGGATCGTAAATCAAGATCCTACATAATGAGAAAGCAGGAAGTACTTTATGCTACTTGAAATAACTGACTTGAAGAATATGATATTTGAAAGTCCTTCTTACCTGGCCTCACTAGGAGTTCTGGCACTAACTCTTGACTGGCATTAATTCTTGATAATTGAGAAACTTTAATTCCAGACAAAAATGAATTATTGAATACCTGATAAATGACAGCTACTATGTTAAATATGCATGGGATAAAGAAATTATAAGATAAGGAGTTGCTTATAAGTTACATGAAGGGGATTAGTGATATAAATATAGAATGTTAGTGAAGTACTTTGACAAAGACAGGTGTGTCTCTGATTTTTGTGCTCTGTCCACCAGTTAAGTTAGTGTCACTCAGAAAATAAAGGTGACTTGACAAACTTTGTCTCCAGTGACTTGGAATAAAATCGAGTCACTGACAACTTCAGAATTACCCTTTTGAACTTGCCCTCTGGGGCATGTATCATGACATTAATTAACATTTCACATCATGAGCAGAAGATGCTAAGTCAAGCAGTAGTGTTCAGGCTTAGTTTTACAATACTGCTTGTCAAAGTGAAAATTTTGTTTCAATCTTTATTCAAAACAGAAGGGGAAAATTACTGTCTTAGGTTAAAGAAAAATGTAATTGTGCTATTATAAGCCATCTTACATTTATATAGTGGCTTTGTCCTCTCCATTGTAGGTATTAGAATTTAGCTCTCCATGAATGACAGATATAAATAACCTAGGATTTTGCTCATCCTCTTTATTTTAGTGAAAAATAGAAATGTACAGTTCTAAATTTGTCATCTTGGGAGATATAGACCTGTGTATTTTTTAAAAATAAAAGCTTCTCGGGCCAGGAATTTAGCTCAGTGGTTCTGCCACCTGCCCTGAGAATGCAAGAACCCGAGTTCAATCCCTGGTACCAAAAAAATAAAAAACTAAAAGAAAAAAAAGAAAAGCTTCTCTTGCAGGAGAGTTGTTTCTGTTTTCAAATAGGGCATACATTAAGATCATTATTAATTTATGCTTTTTCCTACATCCACTAGAAATATAATGGTGTATTCTCAGGTGCACATAATATTTTAAAATGAGAAATATACCATTCAGTTGTCCAGAATCCACCAGAATATACTTATGCATTCAGCTTTGAAACATGGAGTTGAGAGGAATAACATCTTGACTCCAAAAATAAAATAAGATTTTATTCCTGGAAATATCCTTCCAGTGAAACTGAAAAGTATGCTGGATGCAGGTTGACCTGATTCTTGCCTAAAACCAGGTCTTGACTAGAACAATGAAAGGGAGGAGGAAGGAGGAGAACTTCTGCTGCAATTTAAGGTCTGGCGTCTTACTTCCTGTCCAAAGGGACTTCGTAGTTGGAAAGGAAAAAGAAATTCTCCCAGCCCACTTCCTGGGTTCTGTCTCTTATATATTTGGAAACTGTGTTCTGTTTTCTTGAAGGTTGATCATGATAGTTCCTTAACGAAGGAGAAACCCAAGACTATTCTCCTCAGAGAGGTACAGTGTTGCTTTCCCTTCCATACAGTTTTCCCTTCTGTGAAATGGGTCGGAGGAGCTGTCCTTTCAGCACCTGAGTCCTCAAAGTCATTTTAAACCCTCCTGCATATTAATGAATACTGAAGACCTACTGTGTGTTGGTAGCTATCCTCAGACCAGAGGGAAGTAGGAAGAATACAAGAAAAAATACAACAATTAATTCCCCTCAGGAGAATTCAAAGACTCAGTTGAGGAAATAAGATAATAAATAGAAATTTGTTGAAGAGGTACATAGCTTTTCATCAGTTTAAATGTTTGTAGGGAGAAAAAAGAGAACGTTCCTTTCTTGCATGATGAAAACTCAATATAATGTCTATATTTCTCCAAGAGCTTTTTTAATCTCTCTTTAATGTAGACATACTTGGCCTATTTTTCTCATTCATATAGATGACGGGCAAAAATTAGTCATCAGTCAGGAGTCATTTTTAGGACTCAGATGCACTCAAGCTATTTTAAGCAAGAAAGGGATTTAGCATAGGAAATTAGGAGCTCACAGAATTGTTGAAAGGGCTGGGAGGAGAGGCTTCAGCTGGACCTATGGGAAGAACTCCAGACCATTGCAGGACCGGCCTGTTAGGCGAGCTGCCACTTCTCTAATGGGAACAGAGAGAATCTGCAGCTGTCGTTGAAGATGTTGACTTCAGGAGCTCCATACTGTATCTTCAGCTCAGAGATTAGGCAGCTGCTTGGCCGTGTAACATTCCACATCATAGAGCTAGTGCTGCTGCCGCAGACAGCCATGCTTGCTAGGATAAGCAGCAAGAAGACGGTCCCCCTCTCACTTCTGCCGTACAGTTCTGGTGGATACAGTTGGCAGAACTTAATTTGCACCTCGAACTCTAGCTTCAAGGGAACCTGGGCAAGGTACTTTCTAGTTCTCTGGCCTCTCGCACTGAAAAGCATGGTAGAAGGATTTTGTGATGGATTCTCCTAGTTTGCTACCACATCATTTACTCAGGAAGACTTCCAGACATAGTGGTACTTCTCTCTCCTCCCGTCCCCACTCCTCTGCTCCTCTCTTTTCTTCTCCCCTCTCCCTCCCCTCTCTCTCCCCTCCTCCCTGCCCCTCTTCCTCTATCTCCTTCTCTCTCTCCCTCCCTCCCTTTCTTTCATCATGCTAGGGACTGAACCCTTGCACATGCTAAACATACATTCTACCACTGAATAATACCTCCAGCCCCAAGATGATAGCCTTTTCAACAGTTGGAACTTTTGGGACTCTAAAAAGATGGACTCTACTTTTTGTATACCTAAAGATATTCCATCTAACTTCCTAAGAGTGTCCTTTGGGTAGACATTGTAAAATACAAATGAATGTCAGCCCGGGGTAGGACAAGAGCACTGTAATTAAGCAAGAACAGCTTGGTGAGCACTGCCAGCGCCTGAGTGAGGAGTGGGGATGTGGGGAGCTGGCCACGTAAGGAAAGGAACAGCTAGCAGCGGGCAGTTCCTCTCTCGGTCTTGCCAAAAGTTTAGAAATATATCTTTGTTACCTTAGTTTTTTAAATAAAGTGTGATTATTTTCTGTATTTGTTTCAGAAGGCCCAATGTACTTTTGTTTTCGGATCTGAAATTTGTTTTATTTTCTGTTGAAGTGTTTGTTTTCATTTTGTTTCAGTGATCCTTTGGTCACTTACTAATGTTTGGCATGGTGAGGACAGTGGTGAAAAAGACAGAGTCTCTGCCCTTGCCTCTCACAATCAAGCAGGACAACAGGCATTGAGGACATAGTTAAGTGATTATAACCTTTGTGAGTCTTGCAAAATGGAGATCACTATGAAGTATTCAGTTGAGGGGGGAACTTGACTTCGTTTAGTCTGGGTGTTAGAAGGTATTCTATGAAATCGACATTTAAATTGTGACCTGAGGGCTGAATCTGAATCAGCTAGGTAAAGACAAAAGAAGACTGAGAGGACAGAGAACAAGTTTCATGGGAGAAACATAAAGTAGTATTTTGCTCATATAGCATTCAGTATTGTATCTAGCCCCACATTTATAATCACTGGTAGCTGCTATTTTCTATCTATGAAAGCCTTTCTAGACCTTAATCAAATACATGAGATTCAAACTCTGGATTTGAGAAGAGTGAGGGGTTGGGGTGTTATTGGGAGCATCAGGGACCGACCTGAGGCACTGCTGGAGTTCGATGTTTTCTGTGAGGCTCCTTCCCCATATATCTCAGTCAGCAAGTCCCGGCAAAAGCCAGCTCTGGACGTCTCCCAGGTTAACTCGGCTCTCCCCACACTCTGTTGCTGAGGGTCAGCCTTCCTGGTCACCGGTACACTGTCTTTCACTTCTACCTGGCTGCCAGAGTTGGTGTCCTTTCTAAATCATAGGCCTAGCAACACTCCCCTCATGAAAGTTACCTTGTTGGTTACACTCAGCAAGGCCTGATCTCCCAGCAGGCATATGATCCAGCCAAACGGGCTTCCCTGAATTTTCCCATGTATCGTACACTCTCATGTCCTTCCCCCTGCCTGGATTTGCCCTCACTGGGAACTCAAGACTTCATTGCCTGATGAGATCTCCTTCCCCTCGTTTTTTAGGGCCTGTTTCAAATGTTGTCTTCCCCAAGAATCCTTTCCCCAGTCACACTCTCAGTCCCATCCTGCTGTGGGAGCTAGTGACTTTCCTTATCCTCTGGCCATACTTCTACAAAAGCTCTTCCCAACCTGCCGAGTAGCTATTATTTGTCTGCGTTGACACTGGGTTGTGTGTATCTCACCACCAAATACACAGTAAAGCTGAAGAAACCTCAAAGAAGACGCCTTGAAAGTTCCCTTTACTTAAAATGATCTTGAAACAGGGTTCCAACTGGGGCTTGTTTTATGAATATGTATTGAATGCCACTGAGGACAGTGGAAATGGAATGACAGTTGCTCTCCATTTTGTGTTTACTTTATAATGGGGAGCGAAAAGCCCAGTGAACTGACAATTTGCTATGTTTACACTTTAGGTAAGTGGATGGTTAAGTGATGTTTCCCGGAAGTTTTTGACTTGTTTCTTTTTTCTTGTTTCTCAGTGTTAGAGATTGATTTTGTGGAGCTGACCTTGGAAGAGATTATTGGCATTGGGGGCTTTGGGAAGGTCTATCGTGCTTTCTGGATAGGTGATGAGGTTGCCGTGAAAGCAGCTCGCTATGACCCCGATGAAGACATCAGCCAGACCATAGAGAATGTTCGGCAAGAAGCCAAGCTCTTCGCTATGCTGAAGCACCCCAACATCATTGCCCTTAGAGGGGTATGTCTGAAGGAACCCAACCTCTGCTTGGTCATGGAGTTTGCCCGTGGAGGGCCTTTGAATAGAGTATTATCTGGGAAAAGGATTCCTCCGGACATTCTGGTGAACTGGGCTGTGCAGATCGCCAGGGGGATGAACTACCTACATGATGAGGCCATCGTTCCCATCATCCACCGCGACCTTAAGTCCAGCAACAGTGAGTATGAAGAGCTGGGCTGGGGGCCGAGAGCAGCTCCACACTCAGGCCACAGCTTCAGTAGGAGGGGATTCCCAGGGGAGCACTGCTAGATGACGTTCCCTCCTTGAGTGGAAATGCAGGGCTGGGCTGAGTGCCAGAAAAAATCGGTTTAGAAGAATGAGGCACCGGAGGGGTTTTAGGATGATTTTGAACTCATATGAGCAGACAGGGTTAGTGGTGTATAATTCTGATAGTCTGTACAAAAATGTAGATTGATTTTCCCACTGAAGGGAAGTATGTATGTAATCACCAAAAGGGGTTTTCCTTTTGTGGGGTAGCAGGTAAAGCACACCTATACCACCTATCTGAATTTCTACCTAAACACCTCAACTGGAGGTACCCAGTGGAATAGGGACCATCAGAAGAGGGGCATATTGTTCAAACTGGAGCCTGATGCAGGCATCAATTTGGAGAGCATGACATGGCTTGGAAGTGTTACAGATCTGGTAGCCCAGGGGTAGCATTAATTAACTGCATAACTACCTGGTGTTTAATAGCAGGGAACTGAGAAGTAACTGTTTCTATTAAACATCCTATAAACTGGACAGTAAAGCAAGTGTTAGATATAATTAAACAGTGAGTTGGTAGAGACTTTCGTCTTTCACTTGGGCTGAATCAGAGGCACTAGAATAAGGTTCATTTGTGAAATGATTTGTGCTCTTTCTTGCCTGGACTGCCTGTAGCAAGGTTACAGTTGCTTAGAGGTTATGCTTATGATCATACTGAGCATCTTTTCCCAGAGAGGAGAGCATTTGTGTTGAAGGACTTTGGGGGTGGCATGGGCTCTAGGGACTTTACTCTCTCTGCATTCTTTAGCTTTAGCCCAGAAATCCTTCAGACCTTGTTTTGGTCCATGCTGTTCACATGTGGCTCATTCTCTGTTGGTGCTGTTGTAAATCTTCACTTTTCATTTTGAAAAACATGTATTTTGAAATTATGTAAGTAGTATTTATTTTAGAAAACAGTGCAGATAAACAAGAGAGAGAATTAATGGAAGTGTTTTCCTTTAGAGAGAACGTAGGATGTATCCATCTTTTAAAAAGATATATGTTTTTTATATATATAAAGAAATACAGTTTGCAATTTAAAATAGCTTTTATTGCTTTTATATCTTCTACCTGGATGCTCTGCTCCCTTAATAATAGAAAACTTTCACCTTGGAAGAGTGTGGAACATTATGTATGTATTTTACATATGCCACATAAGAGGATTTGTTATACAAAATAATACCTGGTTTCTCTTATTTCCTATGCCATTATTTTATCTCTTTATCATGTGAATATTCTCATCCCTTATCCAAAATGTGTCCCTCATCTTTAAATGTGTTAACTAAATTCACTTTTAGTGACTTCTTCAGAGGACTTTCTACCTAGAGACTGTTTTGGATAGTGGGTGAGCAGCAGCAGATGTGTTGGTAGAAATGAAATTTTCTTTCATTCTTTTAAACATCCTTATGCTGGGAGAACTAGGCAAAGTGCTATAATGTTACATAATTGAGCCCATTTAGAAAGTCTAGCTGGGATAATAAAATTGTAAATGTCTATTATTTCCTTGATGAAGTTTCAAATTTGAGTATAATTTCAAGCTAGGAGTATAAAGTTTTACCTTTTGCAGATTCATCTTTGGGAATTTAGATTCTTGTGAAAAAAAAGCTCCCTTACCGGAGTTTTTTGTAGAAGAAGGTAGAGAACTTGAATGTCACTCTTTTATCCAGGAGACAGTACTCTTTATCCAAAAGTGGGTTCTAGGATTGGCGGGGTTTGGGGGGAGCCTATAGGTTCACTGTGTTGTGACAGTATTGGATTCTACATAGGGCAGTATTTTTAAGGATCTTTTCAAGATATGGTCAGAAGGTTTGCGTGGTGGCACCAATCTGTAATCCCAGAACTGTAAGAGGCTGAGGCAGGAGGATTGCAAGTTCAAGTCCCGCCTGGGCAACTTAGTGAGGTTCTGTCTCAAAATAAAAAATAAACAGGGATCAGTGCAGAAAGGCACTGGTTCAATTCCCAGTACCACAAAAGAAAAGAAAAGAAAAGAAAAAGATGTGGTCAGAAATGTGCATGGTTCATTGGACTACATGCTTGGTGCTAAGGTTGATTTGGCTGTGAGTCTTACATGTAAGTTGGGGAAGCACCTTGATATTAGTCTGTGGGTGGATGTTTGCCTAGCATTATGTATGTCCACCACGAGCATTGATGGCACAGTCATTTTTATTCCATTGCAGTGTATGCATGGTTTGAAGATCATTTTTCTCCTATTGTCTCTAGCTTGGGAGTAATAACTTCTTTGTGTGTTGTACTTGGGGACACAGTCCTGTTTTGTTTGGTTCTTATTAGCTCTAGAGAGATGGATTTTTGGTCACTGTCATATTAGGGCAGAATACATACTGGGGACTATATGTTAGTTGACTTTGAACTAATGGAGAAGAAAGTATGTGTGTATGGGGGCTGTCTTTGTAGGAAAGAGAAAGTAGCTGATGATAATCATCTAGCAGTTGGTTACAAAGTCTTAGTAAAAAGTAATTTATAAAAAAATTATATTATCCTGGTCACCTACTTAAAATAGTCATTTGCTATTTACTGATAGTGAAATATGTATGGCGTATAGTATCCTGTGTTGGTATATAATCTGCATTATGTTTAGGTTGACTATAATCTAAGAAATGAAACAAAAGAGCAGTGACTAAAATAAGATATACATTTATTTGTGTTTGGAAAGAAGTCTGACAGATTTTAGGGTAGCTCCACAATGTGTTCAAGGGCCCCAGGGTTTTATTTTTTATTCCATTATTTAAGTATGTGCATGGCTTGCATTCTCCCTGTCACCTTTGGGTCTGAGATGGCTCCGGAGCACTGGTAATTTGATCCCAGTACAGTATAGGACTGAAGGAGGAGGAAAAGCAGAAGCAAAGAAAAAGATGTTTTTGATGACTGAGTCAGCTCCTGTTAACTTCCAAGATGTTCAGTACAACATATGTGCTTGCATTCATTGGCCAGAACATGGCCACATGGGTGTGGCTATCTGTCTCAGAGTAGACTGGGAAATGGAAACTTTGATGCTGGATGGTTTGAGCCCCACTAATAATAAGTCTCAGTTACCAAGGATGAACACGGCGGGTCGGGGAAGCAGCCAGCAGTCTTGCTGTGGAATCTTAATACTGGATGTACTTTGAGAAAACTGTTACCTGGGATATTTAGCATCATATAACTGAACAAGTTTAGCCAGGCCCTGGGTTGTAGAGTTCAGACCCCCAGTTTAACTAATATTACTTTACGACATTACATCATTAATTTAAAGACCACATCTTAAAACTCCTTGTAAAAAGCCACTGGCTATTAAAATGGATTTATGTCTTGTTGCCCTGTCAAAGTGGGGAAAACCAGTTACTGGATTGTTAGCAAAGGCATTGGTGAACAGCAGTCTTTTAGTGGAAAGGTCAGTTGTCTTTTTTGAGATAAGTGGATGGATTTCAGGATTTTGTATAGTAGGTAGCTTGGCATAAAGGCTTTTGGCAGAACAACAATTTAATAGTTCCATTAAAAGGTTTCTTGTGCAGGGGATTTAGCTCAGTGGTTTTGCCGCCTGCTGCGCAAGCGCAAGGACCCGAGTTTGATCCCAGGTACCAAAAAAAAAAAAAAAAAGAATACCTGCTCCTTAGCTGCTTCATCCACAGGCAGGAATGTACTCTACCACATATGCAGGAATGAAATGCTAGAGTGGAATCCAGCAGTCACAGCCAGCAGATTTGCAGCCATCAAAAACCCAGGCAGGAACAACCAGCCTAGGTACACTCCAGGCTTAGAATGACAGTGCCCATCCTTAGGTTAAGGGGGACATCAAAGTGCTGTTGTCCTCACCCTGCAAGAAAGCACATATTCAGCTTCCTGAATGCCAAGAGAAAGTTGGAGAGGGGTACACAGCACAAATGAGCACAGAATTAGGGCTGGAGTTAGGGGTGAAGGTATTACATGGGGCTCAAGTTGCAAGAGCAATGGTCAATCCAACAGCTCAGTGGAAATGGGCAAGCATATGAAGACTGTGATGGGCATTTCCCAAGACTGGAAGATAAGCATTACTGTGGTTGGACAGAGACCGATAGTGAGTCAAGCAGCACAGTGCACCTAAGGCACAGGTGTCCTGGCAGAGGCAATGTGGCATCAGCCTAGCCTAGAAAAAGATGAGAAGTAGCCATGAGAGCAGTTTTTCCTATAGATGAGTAAAATATGAAACTATAAAAAATAACCAGAGTGAATCTGGGTGACAGCTGAAGAAACCAATTCCCCATCTTTTTCAAGAGGTAAATAAATGACTTTTTGCTCCCTTCATGAATATATGCCCAAATGAGACACTTCCAGCAGGACCTGACTCAGCACTCTCCATAACTGTCCTCATAGGGCTTCTTTGAGGCTCTTGTATAAGTTCCTATTTATAGAGAGTTGGAAGATGACAGATGTGTTTTTTTTTTTCTTTTTCTTTTTTTGGTACTGAGGATCGAACTAGGGACCTTGCACTTGCGGGGCAGGCGGTAGAACCATTGAGCTAAATCCCCCTGACAGACGTGTTTTGAAGATTTTTCTGGGCAGAAGTGTACAAGGGCTCACAGAACTGGATTTATCTGTTGGTTGTAGGTGGCTATACCTAAGGTTAGCTAGTCCCAGAGTGTTCAGTTGATGAGAAACATTTTCTGTGAATATAGAAGTATATTCTGCAAGCCTAAATAAACACATAAGTGAATAGAGTTAAAAGAAGCAAACAGTCAAGCCAGGTGACCTTGACTCCACAGGCGATGCCAGTGGTCTGACTTGCAAGTCCTGTTTTGTCTCCCAGCTTTTCCCCCCAGCTCTTTAATGTGGCCTGGAAACCTTGACACCCCACCCCCCACCCCCCACCTCAACCTGCAGTACTGAGAACTGAACTCAGGGGCTTAGATATGCTAAGCATGCATTTCTACCCCCCAG